TTTTTTCTTTCACCTAACAGCCTGAACATTTTATACAGAAGGGGACACTGCCCAATTGTTGGGTGGACTTAACAGTTTTTGGATGCACGAGAATGCTAACTACATTGTGAAAATGGTAATGGTTTCAAAACGAGAAGGGAAGCATTACTGGAAGAATGAAAAATCTCAGAAAAAGAAAAAGCCACTCCATTAACTTAAAAGAAAGAAAAGAGAGCAAAAATAGATGTCATTGCTGGAGCAGTTCCTGTTGTTCTTTAGCAAAACAAAATATTAAAAAATAAACACAAAGCCAACAAATATCGGGGGAAAAGAATTAAATGCACTTGAAACTAGGGAAGAAGGGAAAATTGTTTAAAAGTTTGCGAATTTAATACTCTGATTTTTATCTCAATAAAATTAAATCAAAAGAGAGACTCAGTATATATTTTACTCAACTTTAGTTCAAGAGAGAGAGAGTCAGTTTTCTTTCTTTATTGACAAGTTTTCTATGTAATCTTTTTGGTGGAAACTGTAGGAGAATATCATGTTCTCCTATTTTGAAGTATTTTATCAAAATCAAAATAGCTACCAAAATCTCAAAGCCTTTTTGTTCCTTAGCATCAATGGATATGGAAAAGGGGAGAATAACATTGAGGGATACTTTGAACCTGTGGATAATATTTCCTAAAAATGTCTATGTCATTATCATACAATGCTGCGATCAATAGTAGAAAAATATCTTAGGGAAATATATTAACCATTGAACTAATGTTCAGGAAATTCCCACGATAGTGTCTTTTCACAAATGATCTTTCCCTTGACCTTCTTATAAATCTTTTATGAGCCGTTTCAGTTAGAGCTATGCCTTTAAGGTTAACTCTTTCTAGAAATGAGATGTTTGGTTGTTTGTGTGTGTGTGTATGTGTGTGTGTGTGTGTGTGTGGCTGGGATAGCATTGGCATTTGTAGTTTGCTGCCAAATTATACATTTCTGAACCTTGCTAACTTGAACTGACTGAACATTTGAGTCCCATTCATTTGCCATATGGTTAATGAAGATACTTGTTTTCATCCTTTTATTATGGCTATCATGTCTAGAAAAATGAGTTTGAAAGAATGGTAACATGCCTGTTTTCAGTTTAATACAATTATGAAACTTCCAAGTTTGTAGAACATTTGCATCATTAAAAATATTTTTCTATTTCCTATTAAAGGACCGAATTGGTTTCCAAGTTAATATTAAATAAGTATTTTCAAAATAAGAGCAGAAATATTTCCAACTTTTAAAATGTAAATGTCATTATATTTAGCTCCATTGTTGGCACTTTAATAGTTTTCGACCTGGGAATACTTGAACTCTTAGCATTGATATGTGTAAGGAAAGGCTTTCTGCAGTTTTTACACAGGTCCATTTCCATTTTTAATGTTGACCTTGGAGTTGGAAAAGAACTGGAGGTAAGATGGCTTGATAATGAAGCTCTTTTGCTGCTCATAGACTTAAATCCTTCATATTGAGCAGTAGGGTTCTAGTTGACCTTCACTCATGTTGTTCAAACATTGTGGATGCTTTTGAGAGGGTGGACTTCAGAGGTGCTGATGATGCTGAAGGACTGGGAGGAGGGTTTATGTGCTACACCCCACTCTAGGAATAAAGTGGGCCTATCTTCCACTGGGAGGAAAAGAACATGCAGTGCCACCCACAGCGCTACAACGTACTTCCTCTGCGTAGGTTTGCGAAGATCAATTCCATTAAATTACTGGCTTGAAATATTTTGTATTAGATTTGTATGCTCTACAACAGGTGGGTTATTTTTGATGAAAAAAAGTGGACTCTACTGTTGGTGCTCTGGAGAGATTTTTAAATTGTGGTTCACAGATATAATATACCTCGTGCGTTCTTGGTCCGGGAGAAAACCTAATGAAAACCCTCACACTTCAGTCCAAATAAAGAGCCACATTCAATTATAACCTGCCTGAGGACAGGGAGAGTAGCTAGTCTTAGGTGAGCTGTCAGTAAACAGTGACCGAGGGAATAAATGGGAATAAATAAGACCATCATTAAAATATACTTATTTATTTTAATGAGTCATGGCTCATATGCTTAGGAGAGCCCCTGGTGGTAATATTTATTTTTGTTTTTGTTTTATTATGTAATAGCAACAAGACCTTGAGTGGGGTCAGAGCTACTGAGTATGTAAGGAGCTACTATTACTTATATCCTATTCTGTATGGGAATTTATTGTATGTGTCTATGCTGATAAAACCAGAATAGTTTTCTAAAAACAAAATACTGAAAATAAGGATTTGTTTTATTTAACAAAAATTTTTTTGCCTGATTTTTCCCACTATGAGTTTTTTAAAACTATTAATGTATATTAAATTACATATTTAGTAAATAGGTATTAGGAAAACGATGCAAAGGTCTAAACACTTTATACTTAAGAAAGTGATACTTGCCTATTTCCCACAGAGAGGTCTTTTTTGAAGGGGATGAAGGGAGGGAAGGAGATAGAGGATGGAAAGAGAGGAGATGGGCAGGGAAGGAGAAATTTCTCTTTGTGACGAAAGAATAGACATATTTTGCATTTTATAAGCTCCCCAATCTATATACAGTAGCCTCATTAGAACACCCACTGTAGAGTTAAATTTGGTATAAAACTAGCCTGGCCCAAAGGCTCAAAGCAGATATGTGGTAATAATGCTCCACTGATGACTCTGTTCACTGACAGAGACCCCCCACATTGCATGATAGTCAGACTCTGCAGCTCGTAATTGCTGAGATATCAGAAAGTCGACTGAGAATACTTTCGCTAGCAGTCTACATAAATTGAACCCAATGCTAAATGGTAAAAAGTCTGCACACTATTTGAAGCTGCTTAAGTCACGTTCATTCCTATACAAAGTACGAGGTAGCCAAAGACGTAGCGAAGCGTCTGCCAGAAGGTAAAGAGAAAGAAAGGGAGATGCTTAAGAAAGTATTGCTATTTTGATAGGTGAATTCCTGGGCTATGGAGCACTTTCTATTTATGTAAGTCCTTGGGTGGGGGACATTTGAGACACGGGTGATATCTGTAAATTTCCCAATGGAAGGATGCTACAGTCTATTTTTTAAAAAGACTTTGAATATGTAGGGCAGAGCTGCCTAAAAGAAGAGAGGCAATTATTACACTTTTTGCCTCTCTCCCAGTACCAATGTAGCTTTCTTATCCCAATCAAGAGATGGCTGGTACTGAAAGACACCGGATTAAGATGTGCACCTAAGACCTGAGAAGAAGTTTGCCCTCTGAAATTCTCCATTCTACCAGGATGTCTGGAGGGGCCAGGTCATGGCTGGACATGAAACGGGATTCCAGGAAGCTCTTGTGGGTTAATCTTTAGGCATCGTTCTTTTTCTCCTGACCTTATTTTTGTTTGAAATATGTTTACTAGCTCTTGGAAGGCTGGTCAATAAAATACCGAAGTTTTCCCTTGCCAAGCAAAATTTTTGCCATTTGGCAAAAGCATACTTCTGCAGAAAGGCAATGGGAGGCTTGCCATGCAAGCTCACTCGAGTTCCGTGGCTTCATGAGATAGGTGATGAGCAGGCTACACATTGTAGTTCTGGAGACTGAAAGGGACCTCACTGTACCAGTTCGCTGATCCGGGGGATGCCAGAGTGATGCCTTCCTGAATCAAAGAAGAAGATGATGAATGATGCTGGCCATCTCCAAGACCATCTCTAGAATGACAATTGCAGAGATTCCCCTTGTTTAAACCAGATGCTGATAAATTCCATTTTATTAGGAAGCTAATAAAATGTTCTACGGCCGATTTAAGTTGTGAACGTTATTGTGTGACTATGCTATTCTGAGGGCTAACCTCATCTATTATCTGTACAAATGTCCTTTTACTCTATAAAGATGTATAAGAGGCACTCTGGTTATACACATTATAGTAATAAATAGCACTTTCTCCCTTCTCCATCTGTAATGATGTTTCTCGTTATCATTCACGGGTTCAATACTGCAAACAACTAGGCTCAGTTCTTAGAGAACATTGTCTTGTAGTGACGGTAACTCTATGACCCTTCTTTGTTTGTCATCCGGACATCACCAACCCTCTCATTTCCTACAAATGTTGAGCACCAATAAGGCATACTACCAAGCTAGAGCTCTACGTACCAAAACAGAGCAGTCTCTCTTACAAATCTCTTCCAGAATTAACATATTCTTTGGTTTAATTTAAAATTAAATAAGCAAATAAAACAAGGAGGTTCTGATAAGGATGAGAAGCAATTCAAATCCGAGTGAATGAATTCCCTTCCCTCTGTCTTTCCTTCCGCTTTCTCCCAAATAGTAGATAAGGTGATTTGTGGGTTGATCTCCCCCGGTCGTAATTCTATGTCGTCTTCAACTATTTGAAAACTTGTCATAATAAACAGTGTGTTCGCCATTTTTCCAGACCACCAATTAAAACCTTTCTAGTAATAATCTGTTATACAATGAATAAACAATGTGGTAATTGCACCTTCAAAGTTCACACTAACATAGTAACGATAGACTCTTCTCCCATTTCTGAAAGAGTCTGTTAGCACCTTGCAATAGGTTCATCTCCACTGTGTAGAGAATACGTTTAAAACAAGAAGTACATTCCTCACTGTCCATCTACGGCTTTGTGTATGTGTGAACACATTGTTGCCACCTTCTGGGCATGAGGAAAGAGGTGGTCTTAATTTGTCCTTTGATGCATGAAAGAGTAGACAGAATTCAAATCAAAGTACATTAGTACAGTCGTGTCTTCTGAGCAGCTTCATCACAGAAGTCCCCAATTCTCTGCAGCGTACCAGAAGTATCTGAGGTTCTCTGGTGGTCTTTTCTGAGGCACTTGAGGAAAAGGTTGAATTCCACCTGCAGTCATCAAACCTCTGAGCTGTCGTGGTGGTGGCTCTGCGGGGGCATCATGGGCTGGCTGCTGCCAGAGCCCTTCGGGGCGTCCTTCCTCCTGAAACTCTCCTTCTTCTTGCACATCATCACTGCAGTGACCGTGAGGCAGATGCTGAGTAATCCCACCGCGATGCCCCCCACGGCGGTGACCAGGCTGACCTCAGAGCCGGGACTGTCGAGCTCCCGGGGGAGGACGCCATCAGGAGGGACTCTCCCCTGGGGGATCTGCCTCTTGCTGGTACAGTCCAGGGCAACGTGCTGGATGTTGGTTCCTCGGTTGTTTTCAGCGCCGATCTCCCAGGCCAACGGGGGCGTGCTCCTGATCTCCCTCCTCTTCCGGCTCTTGGTGGTGGCTTGGGGCTTGCCTTGGCTCACCAGAGAGTGGTACTCCACACTTCTTTTGCCGATACCTCGATTGGCGTTGTCTTTTGACTTTACTGTGTAGATCGTGTGTATGTACCATTCTCGGCCCAGAGCGACCTGGAAAACACAACTCCATTTGTTAGCTAATTTAGACTATTTGCAAGAGAAATTAAGGGCCGAGATAATAATAAATGATAATTTAATTTAGTGTACAGAATTAATTTACTTACTATTTTTGAGTGAGTAGAATGTGCAAGGCTTTGTGTAAAGCACTCTATGATACATTCTATGCAACTCTTAAGGGAGCATGTACTTGGTAAATATCTGGTACTTGTAGTCACAGAATGTGAGAGCTGTAAAGAACTTTAGATATTACCCGGTCTAGCTTATTCATTTAAAAATGAGTAAATAAGAATACAGAGAAGTTAAGTGACTCAACTTGTGAGTGGCAGAGGCAGGACTGTAGCCGAAACCTTCTGAACCTCGCTCAGGACTCTTTGTCAGGGTGTCTTGATGCTTATTTATGTATAAGACCATAGGGGGGAAAAATCAGTTTTCAGGCTTTTCCAAGACCTGGTTTCTGATTTTCTGATGACTGAGATTTTCTGATCATTCTTTGAAGTGTTCAGGATTTAGAGAGGCCATATGCTTTGAGAGTTAATGTTAAAAATGAAAACAAAAAATATCATACTTCATGTTTGAAAAGATTCAAAATAACAAATATGCCTTCTTAAGATTCCTCCCGTAGCCTGAATAAGAATAACATATTTCTCCAGCCCATCATATCTGGATGATTCTTAATAAATGTCCTAAGGGTGCACTTGCTCTCCCAAAGATTTACAATGTAAACACATCTCTAAATTTGTCACATTTGTCTGCTTGGAGTTCTTGTGCCTGCCCCAACAGAGAGAAGGTCCCTCTCCACCTTCTACCTCTGAGTCAGAATTTTCTATCTTGGTTTCTGAAATTCTCGAGAGTGGAGATTTTGTGAGGTGTGTGCAATTGCTTTTCTGAGTCTAGCAGTTCACACAAGATCAGTCTAACTAAGATACTGATGAAAAGTCAACAGGAAGGATGATTTGAATAAGAAAAGCAAATTACCCAACTGTCAGACTTAAATTTATATTCTGGGCTGAATAAGAGTCTCCGGTATACATAGTCTTAAAATAACATTTAACATATTAATAAAAATAATAAAAGCTAGAGTTTACAAAATACTCACTATGTGCCCAGTATGGGGCTGTGTGGTTTATATGCATTGTCTTATTCATTGTTCCCATTAACTCTATGCGATATTATCATTCCTGCTTTTTAAACATAAGACACCTGAGGCAAAGAAATGTTCCATAATTTGCATGTGGTTACGTGGCCATTGCAAGTGAGCTTGTTTTTGGCCTACCTGAAAGAGTGGTGTTGAGTCGACTTTAAATCCATCAGATCCAGGCTGATTCACTAAGAGAATGGCCTCCGGGTCATCCGCGGCCAGTTTGGCATTAAACAGGACATTCCCAAAGCTGGTGGCTTGTGTCTCTGGCTGGGCTTTGTCCTTTAAGCAATAAGGAAAATGATAATTTTCGTAGATAGTGCCAACTTTTGCAAGGACAGAATGTTTTCCTATTAGTTTTGTGCAAGTACAAATTCCCATAAAAATGTTAGCCTTTGGTTTAATTTAAAATGATGATATTGTTTTTAAAATGTAAGACAAAAAGGTTGAACTTTGAAAATCTGTCTAGTTCATGGTGTGGGACAAAGCTCTTACCACAATTTTAAATCGATACAAGAGTGAAGGAGAGTCCGCCAGGCAGCCGTACTCTGCGTTCGCTGGACTGTACTTGGGGACATAGCCGTCAGCACCGGTGCACACGAACACCTTCTCAATGTTGCAGTGGAAGGAGTCCCCCAGATTCTGGACAGGATCCACCATAACACGACCATAAATTATATCACCTGAAACAGAGATGTGGAAATGTGACTTCTGTTATGTGGTAAGGTGTATCAATGTGACCTTGCAAACGGTTCATGACAATAACGACACAGACATTATTTCCTGTGCTCCCTAAATCTGCCGTGAAGGGTTGAAGGTCTTTTTGTGCTAGCTTCCAGATCTGGTCCACTCCCAGGCCTCAGATAAGACCAACTTGCACACTAACCACAAGTGACCGAAGATCTATGGAGTCTCAGATGCTTCACCTCTAATGGGAATCATTTCAAGGTCTGGTCTATAACTTGACATTACTATATCCCATTGTGGTTAAAGTCCAGTTTACATAAATAAATCACGCGGTAATTTACTATTACTAAACCCCTACTATGTGTGCTAGGTATCTTGCCAGGTGTTGAGTATACACCATTGAACAAGACAGGCATAATCTTTGCCTATGAGGCATTTATGATGTTACGTAGCTGCAGCATTTGATTATATGCAAGCTCAAAAAACATTCAAGAAAAAAATCCAGACTTGGTCCAAAAGTCACTTAAATAAGAGGGATAGAGCTTATCTTCCTCAATATATAAAAAAAATCCAATTTCAATGACTTCCTACACCTCCCAACGCAGATAAAGACTCAGTTACATTCTGAAATTCATGGAAGAAGCTATAATTTCCGCCCCACAACCAGAATACCAATAAAGCAAAGCACAACAGATTCACATGACAAGCAGAGCAGCCTTCTCATTTGTAAAGTGATACCTTCTGCAAAAGCAACATCGCTCTCTTGCCCAAATCCCATGGATCCATCAGACAACCAGAGACTCTTCTTGGAGAGTAGGTACATTTGGGTGTTCAAGCTAAACTCAGCCGCCACCGGATCACTGACCTAAAACCAAGTGTAAAAGCCCTTTTATGTATTGTTGGGAGTTCTGATGGTGCACAAACAGATACACACATTCTCTGTATACCGACATGTAGACACTTAACACTGCATTGTAATTTTGCCAACCAAGCTAGCTTAGGGAATTGTAACATTGATTTTGTTCTTGCAAAGGCAAAGCTGATGGAATTAAGTCATTTTGTGAATGGGACTAAATAGCATTGCTTGAGCTCACGTCCGTCGGTTTACAGGGCTATGTAAGAACTTGTAAATATCATGGTAAGTGGAAGGCCAACATTTGGCATAAGTTCTTGGACAAAAGGTGCCATCATATTTCTTGTAATACACAATGGCAATTAGGTACTTTGAGGGGGTCTGAGCTACAGGATTTCATTCTTCTGTTGTTAAGAACAAGACAAAGAAGTACAGAAGTCTGGGAGAATTCTCAAATCTCTAAAGCAGCAAACTTCAGGATGAGACAAGATAAGATCAGATAAGAAAAAATACACTTGAATTACAGATTTTATATCCTGGATTAACAGCAGATAAAGGGCAATTCTTTCCTCCTCCTTTCCCCCCTCACTTCTTTACGGTCTGACTTCCTTTCTTTCTCAGCATGCTAGAGTTAAAGTCATCCATGTGTGAATATATTCTTTTTTTTCCTTACTAGTAAAGTAAATCATGACTTTTACAAAATGGGATTCTGTAAGTCACGAGATAATTATTCTAAGAGAAACACCTGTTGGAATCGGATGTCCAGGTCAAAAGTGACAGGCTCTCTGGGGTTGCAGGTGACGGGCAGGCGGTACTCCTGATGGGGTGGGGTGGTGCATGGCAACAGTTTTACTGTATAGGTCCCCGAATAGTCACGTACCTTTGAGAGGAGAGGACATTTATACATTTCATTTAAAAATGTGAGGCGTCATCAGAAGGCAGCAGAAAAGGAAAATTAAGGAAGGATCTCAGTCACTTACTGCAAAGTCAGAGACGAAGCTCCATTGCTGTACCGGCTGGTTGTAGGTCGGCTCACTCCTTAGGAGGCGGAGGGAGAATGTCAGGCCCGGATGATTAGTTGACATGATCACTGAGCTTGTAAAGGATGCTGGGTGAGTGCCAACAATGATAATGGTATAGCGGTTAAATTAAAAGAGTGCATAACAGGTTAGAGTTTTCAAAGTACCTTATCATACAACATTTGCTTTTGTTCTTTTCTTTTTTTGAGGCAAAGTCTCACTCTGTCACCCTAGGTAGAGTGCAGTGGCATCATCGTAGCTCACTGCAACCTCAAACTCCCGGGCTCAAGCGATCCTCTTGCTTCAGCCACCCAGAGTGCTAAGATTACCGGTGTGAGCCACGGTGCCTGACCTTGCTTTTATTCTTATAATAAGCCTGCAAAGTAGGCATAGTTGGTATACTTATTCTTATTTTACAGATGAAGAAACTGGGCTGAGAGTGACTATGTGACTTTCCCAAGATCACACAGCCAGGACATGTGACTTCTGATTCCTAGTTCAATGCTGTTTCTGCACTATAATTCTGTCAAAAGGTAATTGTACAGAAATGCTCAAATTGTTCAGGGCTACTTTCCAGAAGTCAGAGCAATAAAACAAAAAAAAAAGTCTGATGTGAATGCATTTATTGTGCACCAAAGCTATGAGCTGAACTTAAAATAGTCTATTAGTATCCACACAGCTGGGCAAACCCAATTTATGAATGGAATCTAATTTTAATTAGATTGCCTGCAATTGTGGCTAAACAAAGCTTCAGTTTATTAGAAAGGTAGACATGTGGAAGGAAACTGTAAAGACCAGGAAATCCTCATTTTCCAGAACTGTCAATTACAATAAAGCAAAATGATTTTTTTTTTTAGTTCTTTATTTCTTGTAGTTCAGTCTCATAAAAGTACAATGAAGCCTCTTTGTCTTCCTAAATACCCAGCCCTCTTCTCTGCTTTGTTCAAGCTTATGCTTAGAAAAAGGAAGGATACAAACACGGTGAGGGAACTACTTTCCCTTTCTGATCTCAGCTGGCACTCCGGTAAAACATGCAAACCAGCAGAGTAATGTGGAAAGTCAAATAAAAAATAACTTATTTCTAATGTCCTTTATTAAAAAACAAAGTTTTTGACTGCTACCTTATTCAAAGCACAGTCCATCAGTTGGTAAAACTACATAGCCAATACTTATTAACATAATTAGTTAAACACGTCTGAGACTTAAGTATGAAAGTGGAGTACCGTTTCTAACTCTGCTAGAAAGGGTTCTCACCATACCTCGGTAAAAGTTGTGAACAGAGAAGTAAGTGCTTGCTGAATTAATCACCTGAAATTCAATTTTTTTTTGTACAAGGGAAGCAAAACAGAGACAGGGATTGTTATTGCTGTGCTTTTTAATCAAAGGAAAACTCCACTTAAAATGAACTCAACAGGGTTTCCTTTTAAATTTACTCTAATTATTTTGCATTTTCTGTAAAATTCTGCATAATGATAATTTTGTGGATTACAAGATGAAGCTGAGAAATTATCAAGCCCTCGTGGAGATAATTACACATGTATAATCCATTCGAAATTAAGGGCTTCAAAGGTAACAAGGAAGCGTGCAGAAACGTGTGTGCGTAAGGAAACACTACACCCTTGCTGTGTGCAGGGTGGCTGTTAATGGGTACCGGGGCTTACCCGCATGTGACAGCACAAACAAGCCGTGGAAGTGAGCCTTGGTCTTGAAGTGCACAGCCAGGCGCCCCTCCTCTCCGATCCGCATGCTGGTTGGATAGAGGGAACCTACAGTGGGGAGAGCACCCAGAGGGGAAAGGTGAGTGGCCAGAGACCCCTAAGGTACAGATTGCTTCCAAAAGTGAATGCAGATCAGTGTTTTGTTTAAGCATTCTAGGCAAAGGGTATTATCAGAAGAATTCTGAATAATAAGAGAGGCAGAAATATTTTCATTTTCTCTGTGAGGAGAAAAGGTGTCTAAAAGGGAGGTAAAATGAATTAGGTGGACTGAGTGAGGTCACTATGAAATACACAGATCGACTGCAATACTGAGTTTTTTTCCCCCAAAGCTTTAGTTTACAAAAAGGAAGCTGTAAATTGAGAGATATGACAAACAAACTTGTCAAAATTATGGATATTTGGACATGTAAGCAGAAATGGGTTTGAGTTCTTTATAATCATTAATATTTGGAATTTTATAAACTTAAAGAAAACTCTGGAGCTTTCCCAAGAAACTCAGGTTTGACCAAATTTAGTCCCAGAGATCAAGAGAAGATCAAGATATCCTCACGTAGAAGTTGAGAACCACAGAAAAGACCCTCATTAAGATTCACCTAAATATACGTTTGCTAAGCCAATGTAGAGAATCAAAACATTTAAAGTCATCTGGAATAATCATCCAGGGTGATCATGTTGCCTGTCACATAGCTTTAAGGTAACTTTAATCTGTTTAAGACAGTAGATTTGTATTTGAGATGCACTATCAACTCTATTTTCCTTCTGGCTAGTAAAATGTAATGTTGGCATGATGCTATGACATTCATGGGTCCAGAACAGTAATATATGTCTGAAAAGAAAAAGCACTAATTCTATTAATGGATTAATTAGCTTTATGTTTGTGGATTTTGAGTTATGATTCTGACATGGAGATTGAAACAAAGTTTTGCAGATGTTCATGGGCCCAATAGTTAGTTAGTGGCACTCACAACCGGTGTTTCAAGACATTCAGCTAAAGTATCCCAGAATAATAGTATTTTAAAACAGAAAGAGATATTAGAAGTTTTGTCTAGCATTCAGAGGAAATTAAGTCCCCAAAAGATTAAACAATATGCTTGAGATCACTCAGCTAGTTAGTTGCAGAGTCAGAACTAAAATTTAGGATATAATTATTTATACTAGACTTTAAAATCCACCTTTCATTTTCAGAAAGAAAAATGTGACTTTTTCCCTTGGGTTCATTCCTTATTTTCAATTGGAACTTCCTCTATCCATTTTCTAGAACCTATGGAAATATATACATGTGTTATGTAACACATACATGATTAATCACCTAAGATAGATTACAAGAGTAAAATATCCATGAAATGTAGAGTTCTATTTAACAGTTACATATTATGCAAAATTTGAGGCATTGATACGATTTAGTTAAAATAAAGCTTTTCCATGACAAAGGTGCAATTATCTCATTATCGGATAGAAAAGGAAAATATATTGAAAGTTGTTTCTATTATTTTTAGCCACAGTAAAAAAATCCTCTGAAGTAATTTAAGCAGGTAAGAAAACGAGTTTTCTAAGTCTTATTAACCCACCTTGGAGTTCTGCTTCCGGGGGGCTGCCAATCCCCTCGTTCCACAAGATGGCAGTGTCATACACAAAAGTTAGACGAAGCTCTGATTTCAAGTCAAAATGCTGCCAGCCTCCTACCCCCACGGGGGAGTGGAACACGTAGGAGACATACAGAGGGACGCGAAGGGTCACATAGGACTGCACTAGGTTTAGGACCTAAAACAATAAAATTGTATCTATCAACACCATCCAATGTTAACTAAATGAGCCTAATTTTGTACAAGCCATTTTGTGCTTTCGCTTAATCACTGAGGAAAGAAAATGATAGCATGTTATCATACTTTTTCCCCCTCACTTAACTTTGGATCAATTAAATAGCTACAAACTATATCCATTTAAAACAAAGAGCGTATACCAGAAAGCCTTAAGATAAACTGCCTTATTCTGAGCATAGTATACTTACACAGTCCTTTTAATTTTATAACAGTTTTATTAAGATATAGTTCACATACCATATAATTCACCTATTTAAAGTGAACAATTCAATGGTTTTTCGTATATTCAAGGAGTTGTGTAACCATCACTATAATCAATTTTAGAACATTTTTATCACCTCTAAAAGGAACCCTGTACCCATCAGCAGTCACCTATTCTCTCCTCCTCTGGCAACCACTGTGTCGCTATGTATTTGTCTGTTCTGGACATTTCACATAAATGGAACCATATATGTGGTCTTTCGTGATGAACTTCTTTGACTTTGCACGATGTTTTCAAGGTGCATCCATGTTGTGGAATGTCTCAATACTTCATTCCCTGTTATTACTGAACAGCAGTCCATTGTATTCAGGCATTACACTTTATTTATCTATTCATCAGTTGATGGTCATTTGGATTGTTTCCAGTTCTTTTCTATTATGAAAAATACTGCTATGAGCTACTTTTTCATTACATGCAGGAAGATAAAACAAAGCAGGAAAGATCTGGGGGCAAATATGCTTAGCGATGACATGTAACATTTACAATGTCTCAAGAATCATTAGTTGAAATGAAGTGTCTTACTTTGAATTTTATACTTTTCTCCTTCAATTTTTAGCAAATGAGTTAGGGGTAGTGGAGGGTAAACTATCTATTGAGCACCTATTATGTTTCATACATTATGCCAGTTTCCCCAAAATGCTATTTATTATAATATTTTCACTCGCCCCTATAATTATATTTATATAATATGTATGCGTGGATAGTTGGATGGATGAATGGATGGATGGATAAATGAATGATGGATAGAAAGAGAAAGCTATAGGATATTTAAACCTCAAAGAAATAAAACAAATTTCCCACTGAATTCTTGAAACCTCCTGAATGGCCCTGCCAAGATTAGAACCTAGCTTTTGGCCTATGTTTTTTCTACTCCATCACACATTATCATATTCCAAACAAAACTGGGGCAGTCCTAAGATCATCTCACAAAGGTTATCATACTTAATTCTCAAAATAGCTCTCCAGAATAGTGGGGTGTATACAGCTAGCCTCTTCTACATAAGAGCAAAGAAAGGACTTAGGTCAGATCACACCCCTTACAAGTTCAAGTCAGGCTGTCTGATAACGGTCTAGTTCTTTCTTCCACACTAAACTGAAAACAGGAATCATATACATGAGTCAGCAATTAATTTCAATCATGAGAGCTATAATTTATCACATATCATAGAGTTAAAAGTAAACTCCTCAAGGTCACAAAAATGACAAGGTCAATCCCTAATAAAATACATACAAAGAGAACCATCGACTAAACAAGTTATTTGATTTCATCTGTGTAGTAGCTAGCACTTCCCATTACCTGCTAACCTGGCCAGCAGGTGAGGCGCCTAGCAATAAAAGTCCTTTGAGATAGTATTTTCTAAGGGTGGCTATTATTACTGTCATTGAGCAATTGATTTTGAAGTTCAGTGTTAACACTTTTGGGAGGGTGATTAAGTCAATCCACATGTCACTGGTAATTACGATTAATATTCTGTCTTGTGATTTTAATAAACCATGATTTTTTTAAAAAATAGGCTCTAGGCATGGATTTTCAATTAAACTTTGCAAGTGCTAAGAATAATTGCTACCAATATTATATTCTAGACATCAAATGTTATTGAGCATGCTATTTTGGAGTGAATTACTAATATTCACTTCCTATGAATAAATTATTTGGAGTGTGGCTCCCTGAATAATTCTTACTTGATTTCATTTGATTCTTGTGGGAGAATTTGATCATTTCTGGACACAGAATCTGCATCGTATTGCATTTTCTTATTACCTATGGCCAGATCTTCTTTCTGCGTACTTAGAATCTCTGCTTAGAGGAACTGGAGCCTACATGGAAATCATCCAGGTAACCCCCTCCCCCGACCTCTTGAGTTTCTTCAAACTTGGAGAATACAATACAACCAATCTAACTTTTACATGCCATCTTAAAAAGCACATACTTTTCTTTCAGCCTGTACCACAAGACTTTATAAAGACATTTGTTCATACTAAAAGAAATGTATATGAAGTCTTAAAGAAACTGAGACACAATGACTTACGTTATGTCCTTACTGGTGTTCGAAGTTTCTTCAACAAAGGCAAACAACACTTTAAATTCCATATTTAAAAGGAAAGTGTAAAATGCAAATGATGTGGAAAAGGGAACCCACTGTCAAATTTATACTATTAATACTACTACTAAATGGCAAGTATATATTTGGGGAGGGTATTGTCTGCTTTAGGGACATAGAAAGGCCTCTAATCCAGATGTGAGATGGGTAGGGAAGGGGAAGAATAGGAAGAAAGACGAGTAGCCCAAAAGAAAAATTATAATATTGTTTATGGTGGAAATTAGTGTTGAGGAAAATTGCAGTAGATTTAATTCTTCACTTCTTTTGGCCATATAGTTGTAGCTATCCAATTTACATGTTATCTTCATGATGTTTTAAAATTCCTAAAGAAGTAGGCAGCATATATACATACACAGTAGTGAAAACTAACCTAGGTTTTTCTTGTTCCTTTGCAACTTTCACTTGAGCAAGGGTATATTTTACATTTGGGGAACTTAAGCCATGGAAAATGTAATTGGCTTGCCCAAGATTATTTAGTACAATCCGACTAACACCCAAGTATCTATACCAGCGCCATTCAATAAAAATATAACGTGAGCCCACATATGTAATTTTAAATTTTCTCACAGCCACATTTTAAAAAGAAACAGGTGAAATAAATCTGAATAATATAGTTTACTTAGCCCAATATATATTAATATATAATCAATACAAAATAATTTTTTATAGGATATTATACATGTTTTTTGTACTAAATCTCTAAATTCTGGTATGTATTGTAATGTACAACACATATCAATTCTGACTAGTCCCATTTTGAATACTCAATAGCCACACATGGCTGGTGGCTGGACCCTCCTACCCAAGGTCTTTCAAGTAGACCACATATATTGAAAAAAGTAATCAAATAAAAATATTTTACCATCATGCGTATATCCCACTTTCACATGGGATATGTGGTTTGTGTTTACTTCAAAGATTCAAAACTGGGCCAAAGCTCTTGGAATTTTATCTGAGGGCCACCACTGGGTAGGGATTTCCCACTGGTTGAAATGTCTTTTTGTTGCTGCTTTTGTTGCCAGACACATGCCTGTAACATCAGGATGGTGGTGTTTGTGAACAGGTAAGGAAGGCTCATCAATCTCAATAGCTCGAAGTCTCAACAGAGTGTGTACTTGGCTACTCAGGTGAGGTCATTGTTTTAACAAGTTAGAATTTTAGCCAACATCTCTGAGTAACAGCAGATTATACATCCAGGGACACTTGGGAGAAAGAGACCTTGGCTTTTGTCCAATTACAAACCTTTCTGAAGGTCTATAGCATCACAGAGGCAGGAACAGACGCTGGGATGAGTGCAATATTGGTCCCTAAATTCTTTACAATTAAAGACAAATCTACGGGATAAGGCAGGATTAGAAACAATCTAAATGACCAACAATAGAAGGATGGTTAAATAAATTATGATGGCACATTCACAGGGTGAAATATCATGTAGCCATCAAAAGACACATATCTGAAGAATTTTCCTTGTCAGGGGAAATGCTCACATGTTAAGTTAAAACAGTATATAAAATGTTATAAATAATATTATGCTACTGCATTAAAAATGTATATGTACATTGAAAAGAGATTAGAAAATATGTCTGTATACAGTGATAGTGTGATAATGGATGAGATGTTTTTTCTTTCTCTACACTTCTTTGGTTCCTTCGATTTCCATGGTGATTTCATTAAAAAAATACATTATTAAAAATTAATTGGCAAATTTGACAAAATACAAAGCAACACACTTCATGAAAATTCTACATTTTGGATTTTTCCTGCCATTAGTATTTCTTGACAAATGATTTAGAGTGGCTTACATGTAAAAGAGAATCAGTTTACTAAGTGTAAGAGAATGACATGGAAAAAGATGACTTCTAAAGCATATTATAGACTCAAAGTTGCATATTTCTAAATCAAATACACAGTAAAAAGGGGGCAAACTTTTTCCTCAAACAAAGCAAGTAAGAAAAAACACTTGTTTACTTTTCCAAATTATACTATGTCTTCTAAGTATATTACAATTTCACGTTTTCAGTGCAAACTGTAATTTGGGTTGCATTTCTGCAGCTTATTTATGCACATTGAATCACATTATCAGTTATTGTTTACCTAACAAGGAGCGAGAGTTAAGATTCTGACTTTGCAATCCAGCTAGCCAAGCCAATAAAAGGTGAAATGAACTACAGTGTTTTATTTTTTAAAGAAATTGTTTTCAAGACAAAAACCACCAAAATATGCAATAGTTTTAAAAACTTAGTTTAACTTTATAACCATTTTGCATCGGAAGTGTCTTTCACTGTATACTCAAACAACTTTAAATTTTATTTATAAAACACATGTTATACATAAAGGTGGAATAGAATCATTTATTTAATCTATCTATATTTTTCTTTTCCTGCTATTGATTTGCTTTTATATTTTAGAAACTAACTATTGAAAACAATTTTGGAGTCAAATATCATGAGAGACATTCCAAATTTCTTTTTCTTGACATGTAACATTCTTCACTTTTATAAAAATGATGACGTGACTCTTACAACTCTATTTTGTTGATGTGTAAGCTTTCTATCTGTTGTCCTCACCAGGTACCTG